GATTTATGAACACCTGCTCAAAACCCAATGACTGGACTCCAAGGGCTTTTCCATGAACACCGTACCTTGGCTGCCTGTGGGAGCAATTCAAAATGCTCCTTCCTGGGTTCTCCCTCCTCCAGCAACATCGATCTGCTTGTTGTTCATGTCTCCCTTTCTAAGCCTTTCCTTACAGCTTCTTTAGCTTCGATTAGCTCAAATAATTTGCGGCAACCTGAGCATGTTTTTCTGGTCCTTCTTCTTTACACTTCCTCTTCTGCACATTACTCCCAGTGGGAATCCTCCTTGCAGGGCAGTGCCAGCTCTCCCCCCACTAGAAGCTAAGCGTGCATTTCTGCCCTCCGTTGGTGATTTACTGTGTGGGGAGGGAACAAAGCGAGATGTGGTCTCTTACCTGATTTGTATCTAAGCCATGTTTGCAGCTTGCTAAATGCTATTCAGCCTTGGCCATAGCTTTTTTTGTGAGGTGTACTATACTGTCTTCTCTTCTTAGTTGTTCAGACTCAATGAAACCAGTTTTATATTGCTTAGTCTTTTGTTAGCTTATGTTAAATATGATGGTGTTGCAAGTTCACTTTGTTACATTTAAAAGGTGGTAAATTCATTGATTTGGTATCCTGAGCCATTTTATTAACAGGTAAAGAAATCCTTTTTATCTGCCTCTGCATTTAACTAAGTCACCTTTCAAGTATTACAGGAGAGAGGCTTTTACCACATACTAACTTAGGGATGTTAAGCCACAAGATATCAATCTGCAACTGCCAAGATAACGACACTGGTCCAAACTTTGTTAGCCTGCTGTCTTGTGGGACAGTCAGGATTTTTAGTGACGATTTGTTTTTGCTTACTACCAGACAGTCTTAACGGCTTCAGCTGCCAGTACTTCTGTATGTTCATAGTTTTAACCACCTGAGTAATCTAATTAATTTCACTAGCATGCCTAAAACAGAGCCTGTGCTTAGCTGTTCAGAGACAGTAATGTCAAAAGCCTTTACTGATGCTATCTTCTCCAAAATGTATCACTTTCTTGCAGCGTGACTTATTTGACCCTTTATTTTCCAACAGTCCCTCAGCTTTATTATCCATGTATCTCTTCAAAATGACTGGTGGCAGAGACATGCAAATAGATCATTTAATTTCCCTGCAATGTCTTTATCCCCTTTAATTGTTCCCATTGCACCCTGGTACTCCACTGAGCCTTTTGATTCTCTCACAGCCTGCTTACACCTCTCATAATTAAGTAATTTCTTCTTATTTATTTTCATGTTACGCCTTTGGCTAATCTCTCCACCAAATCCCTCAGCTAAACCATCTTCATTTTTGTTTTACATTATTGTTCCTTACCACTAGCTTCTGTTGGGCTAACTTCCCATTTTCCAAAGGATATTTGAAGAGCCTCTTTTGTGGTACCTTTCCATTCAGCCAAGGCAGATAGGCTCTCTCTCTCCCTCCTCCTTTTTGTCTTTCTGGGGCTTGTGCAAATCTTTTGTAACTCATTAGTGGCTCACTTCAGTAGGCTCCATGCCAAATCCTTACAGCACCTTACACATTTCCCTTTGTGTAATAGTAATTTATTTCACTTTTTTTTTGTTTTTTGTTTTGTTTGGTGAGAGGGTTAAACTGGTAGGGAGGGGGGTTGGAGGAGGAAAGGGAACATTAAGCAAAGGAACAAAAGAGATGGACTAATAGAAAGTGGTTCTGTGTTCATGCATAGAAAATGATTTGGATGCAAATCAGTCACACAGCTGAATGATTTGTCTCAAAGCCTCAAGATTAGGGAGCAGAGGGCTTCAGCCTCAAGTGGCACTCTGTCTGATTTCTATCCAGACCCTGCATTCACAAAACAGCGTGCCTGCAAACAGCCCACCTGGAGGACCTGTGTGCTGCTTTCATGTCTCCTCGTACTCATCTGAAAAACGCCTTTGTGTTCACTTTGAGTTATTTCCTACACCGTGTCTTAAAACTGCAAATACGTAGAGGGGGGAGGTATCTGGGCACGGGAGAACCAGATTAGTTACACACTAAGAAAAGTGGGTGCCGTATCTCCCAGGCAAATAATTTCTACTGAAAGTACAGGGAAGTACAGGTGAGTAATTGCTTGATAACCTGTTAATTTGGTGTCGTGGTTTAACCTCAGTCGGCAACTGAGCACCACGCAGCCGCTCGCTCACTCCTCCCTCCACCCCCTGGTAGGATGGGGGAGAGAATTGGAAAAGCACAAGTGAGAAAAACTCGTCGGTTGAGATAAAAATAGTTTAATAATTGAAATAAAATTATAATAATAATAATAACATGATAATAATAATAATAATACACAAAGTGATGCACAGTACAATTGCTCACCACCCGCCGACCCATGCCCAGCCAGTCCCCCAGCAGCGGCCCCCCCCGGCCAGCTTCCCCCAGTTTATGTACTGAGCATGACGTCACATGGTATGGAATGTCCCTTGCGCCAGTTTGGCTGTGCCCCCCCTCCCAGCTTCTTGTGCACCTCCAGCCTTCTCAATTGACAGAGCATGGGAAACCAAAAAGTCCTTGGCCAGTGTAAGCATTATCTAGCAACAACTAAAACATCGGTCCGTTAACAACTTTGTTCTCATCCTAAATCCAAAACATGTCCCTGCTGAAACCGGGACATTTGGATCAGAAATTTAAGATTGAAATTCCTCAGCATAGAGTCTGAGAGGAAGATTTTGCACTCAGTCAAATGAAATATTTCATTGTGATTTAGAGTTTAAGTGGATTACAGAAAATACCTTATATGCACCATTTCCATACAGCCCCATTGAAATCATTACACCACCTTTAAAAGCATCAGAGGTAGCAGGATCATGAATATGAGTTTAAATGTTCTATTAAGAAAACTTCTTTCCACAAATGAAGGGATGAAACCTGTTCTGATCACAGTGTGACCCTGTTTTCACACCTTCATAAAACAAGTATTCGGTTCATTTTAAGATTTGCAAATGTGGGGTTAAATCGAGCTCTGGATTAGTCTGTCTTCCCCAATCTAGCCAGAAAGCCCATCCATGGATGATGATATCATTCTGTATCTACTCAACAAGGGAGTAGAGAAGGCTGGCATGTGTGTGAGGACACTTTTGGAGCCACTGCACACCTCTGAGAGCTTCCATGGGGCACTTCTTGTGGAAGGCTGACCTCCTTGGATAGGGATGCTGGGGTAGAGTAGTGTAGGATATATTAAGTAGATACGGTCTAGAGTTGCAATCGCTTTTTTCATCACTGAAAATCTAGTAATTTGATGCTGCTGCTTGAAAGTCATCACCCATTTCAGCTGAGTAGTGGGTAGTATATTCATATCACAGTTTTCTGAAATAAATTTAGACTAAAAAGAAATGTCAGTTGCTAATCCAATAGGTATTCCTTCACCTTACGTTGCTAAGGAAAGTACTCCTTCAGTTTGTCTGTTTAGCACAGCTTCCCCATACAATTTGAAAAGGTCAAGGTTGTCCTGTTGCTGCAAATGAGGGAGGGGTGGTCCAGTACCCAGCAGCAATACAGTTAAATATCTTTAAGCTCTATGTATTGCAAGTTGCCTCAGCAATTATACTTCAGAGAAGCTTCTAACTTTTGCAGAAAGGCACAGTTCAGGAACAGCTTTTTCAAGGGACCGTCTCTTCAGAGAAGGAATGTACATTTCCACTCATAACCTGCTGAGAGAAAAGAGAAAGAATAAGAAAACACTTCACCATTTACTTTTTATAGAAATTTATCATGTGTTGCTGCCACTCAGGGTTAGAGGTCTTGATGGTAGAGAAGTTTGTTTTGACTGCACATCATAGGTTTTTTCTCACAGGCAGAATTTGAAACAACGTTCTTGTAGGCTTAGATGGCTTGTTTTAAATTAAAGAAAACAGCAGAAAAGGATTAAATGAAAATCTCCGTGGGAGAACATGGTGTGAGCCTTCCCTGTAACAGACCTCAGGCCTCATCAAAATTTGAGAATTACGCAGAAGTAAAGCAGACTGTAATAGCAGTATGTTACAATTTCATTTTACAGAAGGTTAAGCTGTACTTTCTGAAGCTTTCTTTGCTTGTTGCTCTCTAAAAGAATCCGTTGTTTGTAAATCATCTTAATGGGAAGGACAGGTGACAAGAGGGCCTGATTCAGCTTACTCAGGTGTAAATATGGATAAAAGTTATTAAAGTGTCCAACTCTCACTTTTTTAAAATGCATGAGATGGAAGTAGAGAGCGGCCCAGGCTTCCCAGTACAGACTTTCACATTAAAGAAAACACTTCAACATTTTTTTTCTCTGTCACTTGCTATCTCCTTCAGGGCCTCCATGGTTTCTAATTATTCTCCCAGAGCTGAAGGAAGCCTTGCAGCCAGCCTATTGGTAGCTGTTAATTAATAAAGAGTTCCCATTTTGAGTGGATGCAGCTATTTTCCATGTTGCATTTGGTTTGCAGAAATAAGGCAACAGTCAAACTTTATTGTGCAAAGCCTGGGATCATTCCCTCTGCTCAAGCAGGAAGCCAGGGAGCCTAGTTGTAACCATACCATTTATAATATCAGACCGATTTATTTCCTTTTCTGATTTTCCTCTTTATAATAGAAAGAAAAGAAGGGGGGGGAGGGGGGAGGGATCAAACAAAAAAACTGGTAACATATATCCAAAGGAGCAGGGATTTAAACTAATAGCCTGAATCCATTTCATTTCACCACAGATAAATATTTTCCCAAAGTAGCTTAGTTAAAATCTATTGTAAGGAATGCCAGAAAAATCGAAAAGATTTAATTCAGGGTTTATGTTATCCACCAGTGAGCAGGACTTATCACATCAAGCAGAGGAATGTGAGTTTCAGAGTGGGAGCACTTTAGTGACACCTCTGAAACAACTCTCTTTTCAGAAGAATTTTACCAGAATAAATCCCCGTCCCTTGCTCATGTCCCATCCACAACAAAGCTGAGTATCTTGAGTTTTGAAGATAACTGCAACCATTGACTTTTTTTTTTTTTTCCTGCTTTGACTTCAGGAACTCCTTCATAGATATCCTCCGGGCTATCCTACTGTCCTTGGAAGTGCTCATCGAAGATCAGGAGCTTCAGATAAATGGCTTCATTCTAATTATAGATTGGAGCAACTTCTCCTTCAAGCAAGCCTCCAAGCTTACGCCATCTATCCTCAAACTGGCCATTGAAGGGTTACAGGTAGGTAAAGGGTAATACATGTACCTGTAACTTTTATTGCTGCAGCCAGTGATTTTTGCCTCAGCAGGCACTGGGCAGGGTGAAGGGTGGTGGGAGGAAATAATCCAGAACGCTCTAGTATCCCATCCACTCACGGCATAGATTGATTTTCAGACGTTTAATTTTGACTGCCTTTCACTTTTATTTCAGCTGTAAACCAGTGTAACCAGTATGTGTGTTACTTACTGCAGCATTAGAAGGACGGTTAGAGATTTGAGGTTTAATCCGTCAGAGAATTCAGGGGGATTAAAAACCAGCAGCATCTGCCTTCTGGAGTGTGCAGTCCACATGCAAGCACATCTGTATGCAGAGGGAGGGTGGCAGGAGAAGAGAGCAGCTCCCTTAGCAGATGGAAGTGTGCTGTTGTGTTCACGCGGATGCATTTGTGTCGGAGGGAAATGAGGAAGGAGGAGGACAGGCTCCCTGTTGTGTCCTCATTCTGACTGCCTTCATTTGTCATACAGGATCCTGTTACATTATGGTTCAGACTGTTCAGGGGCTGTGCATCCACTTGGTGCTTGCAAATAAATAGGAGCAAGCTAAAACCATATGCTGTTATGGAGTTAGGTGGAAAGTGAGGACAAAGAAGCTAGGGACTGATGGGGCAACCTGAGGATGAGGTTAAGCTCTGGTGCTCTGAGAGAATTTCAGTCCTTTCCACTAGAGTCTGAGCCCATCACTGCTGTTAGACCTGAGATGGATTTTTAGGTTTGAAGTAGTCTGCACAACCTTATTAATTGTGGGCATTTGACAGAATCCAGGGACTATTTAGGTTGGAAGGACCTCTGGAGATCACCTTGTCCAACCCCCTGCACAAAGCAGGGCTGACTTAATCTTAGACCGGGTTGCTCAAGGACCACGTTTCATGTAGCTCCATATTTAAAAGGAAAGATTTTATAACTCACTGCTTTTCCATTTTATTTTTAGTACTTTTCAGGTGTCCTGCAGTCATAAATACCTCAGGAATAACCTTTCCTGGTGTGTGTGTATCTTAATTTTAACACATATACTAGAAAGAACAATTTGTTCAACTGATTTTTTGACTAACAAATTGTCTACAATTAGATCATGATTATTTCTACTTTATGTTATTATTCAAAAATGAGGTAGAAAAATCTGCCAACAGGTTTAAGCCTGTGTTCCCCTTTGTGGGGTATTTTCATCTATTCTAACAAATTAGAAAGTCAAGCTGCGCAACTAGTCCCTAGGACAATACCTTATCTTCTCCTGCTGATACTATCACTTCATCTATCTTCCTTCACAGAATAGGATTCTGTGGTTCAAAAAACCCCTCCAGTCAGAGGGAAGAGAAAGCCAAGTGACATTCATAAGAAAATCAAATTCCAGCAAGGTGTCCTTCTGCCTGTCCAAATTTTGCACTTCCAACTCTCCAGTAAGAGGCCAGTCCAGCCTTCATCCTGTCTGATTTCTGGCCACAGCACTGCCAAGTTTTCTGCCTACTGTATGGGAATGAGGGGATATGTCCACCTTATGGCAGCTCCAGCTCCAGCTCCAGCTTTAAGCGGTGGACCAACCTGATCTCCTTCTATGACCAGGTGACCCGCCTAGTGGATGAGGGAAAGGCTGTGGATGTGGTCTACCTGGACTTCAGTAAGGTCTTTGACACCATCTCCCACAGCATTCTCCTAGAGAAGCTGGCAGCTCACGGCTTAGACAGGTGGACTCTGCGCTGGGTGAAAAACTGGCTGGACGGCCGGGCCCAAAGAGTTGTGATGAATGGAGTTCAATCCAGTTGGCGGCCGGTCACGAGCGGTGTTCCCCAGGGCTCAGTTTTGGGGCTGGTCTTGTTCAATCTCTTTATCAATGATCTGGATGAGGGGATCGAGTGCACCCTCAGTAAGTTTGCAGACGACACCAAGCTGGTCAGGAATGTTGATCTGCTCAAGGGTAGGAAGGCTCTGCAGAGGGACCTGGACAGGCTGGATCGATGGGCCGAGGCCAACTGTATGAGATTCAACAAGGCCAAGTGCCGGGTCCTGCACTTGGGTCACAACAACCCCATGCAGCGCTACAGGCTTGGGGAAGAGGGGCTGGAAAGCTGCCCAACAGAAAAGGACCTGGGGGTGTTGGTCGACAGCCGGCTGAACATGAGCCGGCAGTGTGCCCAGGTGGCCAAGAAGGCCAAGGGCATCCTGGCCTGTATCAGAAACAGTGTGGCCAGCAGGAGCAGGGAAGTGATAGTGCCCCTGTACTCGGCACTGGTGAGGCCGCACCTCGAATACTGTGTTCAGTTTTGGGCCCCTCACTATAAGAAGGACGTTGAGATGTTGGAGCATGTCCAGAGAAGGGCAACGAGGCTGGTGAAGGGTCTGGAGAACAAGTCTTATGAGGAGCGGCTGAGGGAACTGGGGTTGTTTAGGCTGAGGGGAGACCTCATTACTCTCTACAACTACCTGAAAGGAGGTTGTAGCGAGGTGGGGGTCGGTCTCTTCTCCCAAGTAACGAGGGATAGGACGAGAGGAAATGGCCTCAAGTTGCACCAGGGGAGGTTTAGATTGGACGTGAGGAAAAATTTCTTTACTGAGAGAGTGGTTAAACATTGGACCAGGCTGCCCAGGGGATTGGGAGAGTCACCATCCCTGGAAGTATTTAAAAGACATGTAGATGAGGTGCTTAGGGACATGGTTTAGTGGGCATGGTGGTGTTGGGTTGACGGTTGGACTCGATGATCTTAGAGATCTTTTCCAACCTTAATGATTCTATGATTCTATGAAAAGTAAGTTATTCCTTTTGAAGCCAGTTTCCCCTACTGTGCCTGTTCACAGGCTCTTCTTTGACATCTCTGTTATCTGGAGGGAGCCCCCAGTATATTTGCAGTTGTTGGCAACAATACATTTCTGGAAGTACCAAAGCCTGGAAGTACCAAGGCTGATCTTATGATGGTGTCATTAGCGTGACATCCTGTGCTGGGCAATTTAAGGAGGCTGCCTTTCTTGTTGGTGGGTGGGCATTTCATTTTGCATTTAAAGTCACGTTACTGTCATCTTCTCCACGATAAGTAGAAATATAACTGCCTCTAAAAAGTATAAATTGGGATAATGTGTCCCAGACTTTTCTAACCAGTGGTGGGCTTGACGAGTTGTAGGAGTAGTGAATGCTGCACTCTAATTTACCAGAAGATTCTGAAGAAGCAAGTCATTCATGCTTATAAAGCACATATTTAGCAAGCAATGTTGGTAGGGGTTTTTTAGGGGTGGGGTTTTTTTGGCTCTCATTGTTGCTGTTGAAGTACCTTCATTAAGACTTTGTTCTATTATTATTATTTTAAAAGAACTACTGTTATCCTAATGTAAAATTTATGTAAAATGTAATTGAAATGCAGGCAAGACCTACATACAGAAAAAGAGGAGTCACAATATGAGTTGCATTGGAGGTCACTGAAAGTGAAAAAGTCAGGTTCTACTCTCATGAAATGATGATACCTGGAAAAAATCGAGATTGTTTTAGTTCCTTGTTATTTCTCACAGCTAAGGCTTGTGCACGTACAGATGCTCAGACAGGCAGATTACATGGCTATCCCAGTCCTCCTTTCTAAGAAGAGATTTTGGGTCATATTAAGTCCTATGTAAATCTAGTAAAGTGGATGGAAGGAAAATAATTCTCTCTTACAATTTCTGGTGGGGTTGAACCCATATGTTCATGTGTTGGTGTCAGAGCCAGGAACTTCTAGCCTTTCTGTCTGTAACAGTAATTCTAATGCCATAGCTGAACCATTTTCCCATAGCTTTGTTAAGCTCTCATCTGGTTCTGTATCTCAGACCATTGCTTTCTGAAATATAGAGCTGCAAAAAATAAACAGTAGTGTATTTAATAATTTAAATTTATGCAATTGTTTTTTTTTCTTATTTTCAAATTGCTTTAAGCCAATTAATATATTGGCAGTTCATTTTTTTGCATTTGTATTCAATTTATTTTTTTCCTCAAATTGCTGCTGCAGTGCATGATCTCTAAGTGCAGAGAACAAACATTACACAGGTGCATATGTTAATTCATCCTGTGTTGCAAGACCAACACTAGTCAAATCTAATAGACTTAGCTGCACAGATGAATATGTTGCTATTATCTAGGATGCTCAGTTCCAAACACTGTAAAGTCTGTAAATGCTCAGGGAGATGAAGTACGAGTTACATCACCACATGGCTGAAAGCACATTTTGCTCAATACTACTCTTTGTTCTGTCTGGATTTCTGTATATATTGCATCACGCAAGATAGTTTATTGTAACTCAACAGGGCACCTACTCTGTTTCTCAGTTATTTAATGACCTAAAAGTAGCCTTATGACTCCACTTTAAACAACAGTTGTTTGGATGCTAAACAAGTATTTGTACAGTATGGCAATTCTCATCATGCCACAGCAGCACTGGGACAAATGTTTTTTTAGTGTCTAAACCATCTCTGTTAAACGAGCTCTGCTCTTTTATCACAAGGCAATTGCTACTGTATTCTCTGAGCTCATACCATACTTCTTCCTAGACCTTACTGATCTTTTGAGTTTTAACACATTAAAGAGAAGATTGTCATGTGGATGGAAAGGTGGGGAAAGAGATGTATATAAAACCAATCTATTTTGCCAATAACTTGATGAGTTTTGACTTCTGATCCTTATTCTTTTTAATGTGAACAGCTTTTCCCCTTCACAGCATATTTCTCCCCTCTGTTCTCTTCATCTGTGAAATTATACTTCTCTGTGTGTCACGCTGATCTTATAATTATCCTATGATGGTAGACAAAATTTAATTGTGGCTGAAGTCAACCAGAGACTGATCTTTTGGCATTTTGCATAACAGTTTAGAAGCATCAGAGTCTAATGGCAAAGGTAAGAAAACCATGTTGCAATTGTGAAGTGGGTAAAGCATGTAAAAAATGGTCACTTCTTAGTATGCAGGACGTTTGCTACTGACCATTGCATTTGAAGACCTCTAATAAACGTGGGAATTA